ATGACCTATAAAGTGATATAAATTAATAGCAGCAATATTTTATGTATCATTAATATAATTCTGTTGAAAAAAAATCTCTAGATTGACTATTTTTAAGTCAACCCAAAATTTTAAAGTCTTATTTCTCATTACTTTCTTATTTTTGAACTCCTGTACTTCAAATACTTTAAGAAATAAGTAATTATTATTGAGAATAAAGTAATAACCCCAACTCAGTGTTCTCATTTATAAATAATTGGAGAGAAACCTTTATCTCTACCTAAGATAGAATAGCAGCATATGTTGGGTTTTCCCAGTAAGAAAATTTTCCTGTTTTTTTTTCTTTTTATAGGAATACAAACTCAGATAGCTTCCATAACATGCAGAGTAAGCAGCTTTCAAAGAGCTACTTGGTAAGATAGCATTCACTGAGATTTAACTCATACTATAAATTAACTTAATGCTTTGAAATATACTACAAATACCTTGGCAGGTTTAAAGAAAACAAAATTGCCCAGAAAGCCTGAATAGTGAATCTGATACTATTTACTTTTCTTAAGTTGAAAAGTACATTTTCCTTTCAGCTTTGATATTTTAGTGAGGGCATGCACACACACACACACACACACACACACACACACCACAAACTAATTCTAATGATTGAATGAACATTAAATATTTCAATCTGTAATTTGTAAAAGAAATACAAACTAAGCAAGGTTATTTCCAATCCATTAATTCCCCACTGTTGATACACAATTAGTATTAAAACAACTACTTTTATATGATGGTTATTAACCTTTTGCCCAATGGTAGACTGGTGCTTTAAAATTAAATTGAGCTAGACAGCCATATCTGAACAGTTCTAATTCATCCCAAGTTCATCTTACTTTAGAGAAAGGAAGGGGAAAATGTGGTCACTTATAGTTCTTAACTATACAAGTTCCCAATGGAAGAATTGAACGTTCTTGATGATTCAACACTGATTGGTACATTTGATCCATAGGCTTAGCATGGAAAGCAATAATACTTCAGAAGTCAAAGTCCATTATTCCTTGAGTTTAAGGAAAAATGTTTATTTGAGGGATAAATTCTGCTATGTTTTAGGTAAGGCTTCAAAAATTTAGTGATACATCAGAGAGAATTAAAGAATCTCACCATTATTAACACAGACCAAAGAAAGACCATTAAAAAGATATTCCAAGTGAATGTATGTAATGTTAAGTTTAACTAGATCCCTAAGGTTCCCTCTCCCCCTGCCCCAATTCTATCCTATTTGTACAGAAGTCCTTTATTTCAGTGCAGGAAGTACCATGAACATATATATTCATGTGAATAAGGCTGCATAACTTGGTTGCCTACAAATGTTTCTGCACTCGAGAGTTTCTCAAATTATTTGAGAGTCCTTGCCAACTGTCATAATGACCTTAGTCCCTGACTATGCTAAGTGGCTTAACAAAGCAACAACTAAGAAGTCCATGATTTCCCCTTGTCACACATCAAAGGGGATATGTTAAGTGATTAAGCTTTCCTGCCTCTCCTTTATACAAAGTAGTGACAATTTCAATTTTTAATATAGTCACCTAATTATTTTCTAGTCTAAAGCAACATAACCTTCACTTAATCAGGTTTATCCTATCACTATCCACCACCCCCACCAAAAAAAAAAAAAGTTCCTGGAGATTTAGAAGAGGAGAAAATAGCAATAATATAAATGTTTTAAGTACTCTACAACCTGCTTGTCTCAAAGTATTTAAATATTAAAATATGAGAAGTCCAAAATAGTAATGTCATGCAAATTAATTCATTTACTAGAAACCAAATTTTCTAATCTAAAATCTTCAATGTGATTTTTTTAAGAAGTGAAAATTCAACAAGAATAAAATCACATTTTTCATTGGTTTTTAACTAAACTAATACTGCTGGATGGTCAAAATGTGGCAAAAGATCAATTGATCTATAGTGCTATCTTACCACTGATTTTTATTTTTACTTTATTCAGTGAAGCTCATTTGATAATATTTAAATGTATTTTTGTAATTTGTTTTGAATGTAAAATTAGATTTCAAAATTATAAAGATTACATGTCTACTTGCACAGAAATTTGGTGTCTGTGTAAATATTCCAAGGTGACACTTCATGTTTTCTACTTAAAAAAATGTTACCTCTGTGTTTTTAATAAAAATGCCTTAAGCACGCACACATCTACAACACACACAGCCTTTTCCATATTATGTTTGCATTGTCAGAGGTGAATTACTAATTCACCTGAAAGATTCATTTTATTAATAACTTATATGTTCAGTTTAAATAAGTAATAACATTCTCTTACTAACTAGCTTGAAATGTTAACAAGTCTAAGATTATTAACATAACAACTGGTTATTAAATGTGGCGATGACTAGGTAAGAAGAAATGGCATTCTGATCAACAGCTATATAATCATTCAGGATGCAGGATTTTAGAAAGTATATGGAATTTTCAAAAGCTAAAAGTCAAACAGCATTGTATTATTTAGCAAGCTTGAAATTAAGACTGCTAGAAAATTTGGGTTCCGTTATAGTGAGGTCAATCATGAAGGCAGAACTATGGCAGAAAAATACAATGATTTAATATGTGCAGTAAGACACTTACTTGAATGTCACATACCATGTTTAATATTTTACTAAAATCCATGAATGGGAAATGGTTGAAACTACTTTGGAAGGCAAATTAAATTCATACTGATGCAATAATGTTCATTTTGCTTTATTACATTTGGAGATATTTTGTCCAGAGGTAATCCTGAAAAATTTTGTTTGCAAAGCAAAATTTTAGCTGAAAAAGGAACCAGATATTGGAACTCTGTATCCAATTTGGAAAATTTTGATTCCAACTGAAATGGTACATTAGTCCATATAATTCCTGTTCAGATTAACCAAGAGTTTATTTTAAGGAATTTTAATGTAAATTTATCTGAGAGACTGTTAGCAAATACCATGAGCATAGCATGCCTATGGGTAAGGGTTTAAATAACGTGACTTCTTGTCAGTATAGTAGTAATAAAACCATTAGGAAATCATCCTAATGCAACAGATCCAGTTACTTTTTTGGTGGAGGATCAGGAAATAAAGCTAGTTTACAAATAAACTGAGGGGAAAAAAACTATGATTTCAAATCTTAACTATGCAAATAAGCATAGTTCTATTATCTAAAACAATTATCAGTTTTTTGCATCAGTAATAATCAAAGAGTGAAACCAGAGTTATAATTAGGGCATAAAGGGGTAACTGGGGCTTTGCCCTGGGCACCAGAATTTAGAGGGTACAAAAATTCAAAACCTCGTTTTCTTCATCAGGATAGAAGCCACCATAGGAACTAACTGCCTCTTCCAATTCAAATGAATTTTCTTTCTTATGTTATTTTCATATTTCTTTCCTATGTTATTTTCATATTTCTTTCTTATGTTATTTTCATATTATGAATTACTATATCCCCACCTACCAAAAAAAGTTGATTTGATGGCTGATTAGTGCTACTTACTCCAGGGTGCCAAAATTACAACTTAAAGGTTTGACTAAGTCATTTTAAATAGCCACATCTCACTTTTAGGCTCACTTATTTTGAAGAACAAAAGTTCACTGCACCATAATAAATAAAACCATAGAGTAACTCAATATATTCTACATCATCTGGGAACATAGTTTTGGATAGCTAGAAAGCTTTTGTATCATCTTTAAGGATGGAACCCCAATTAAAATGAAATATTGTCATTTGTACTTACAAGTGAACCTGCATGAAAATGAGATTGGGTTATTCTGTATAGGAATTTTATAATCTCCTAAAAATGTGATCCACGAAAAAGTATGACATAAGTTAGCAGGAATGAATTCATAGCTTTACTAAGTGATCAAGGTGTATTTCTGACGGGGCTTTACAAGAACAGTTTGATTTAAGTTTCCCACCAGAGCATCAGCACAGGAACAAGAAGTCATCACTTTAAGTCCATCGCCAATGTGAAGTCTTTCCTTATACAGTAGTTTTCAACTGGGAAAAAAAAAATCAATCCACACTCATTTCTGAAATTCAGAGCAATGTGCTTTGTGAATTGACATTTTGGAAGTTACTGCCTATGTAAGGGCAGGGAACTCTGGAATGAAAGAGACTTATTAGAATGAAGTTTTACCTGACTGCTAGCTTCATAACCAAGGGCATCAGAACACTCCTATATCTCTTTAGCTGTTTAACTTACAGGAGATATGTCATTTGCTAATGGTAGAGGCTTTTAATACCCTGCTTTTCATAGAGTTACTGGCAGGCTTAATGTTTAAAGTTCAGGGTGATTTTTTGTGCTAGTCAGTATAACTTTTGGGGGAAGGAGAATCTGAATAACATGTATGAACACACAATAAAACCTTTTTACCAAACTGTAAGGCAAGTTCTTCAAAACTAGTATTGGTTAAGAATTTCAAAATTACGTTTATATGAGAGATGAATAATTGATCAATTCTTTAGGTTGCTAATTCTTCAGGTCCAACTAATTACAAGTGACAGAATTATTTCATACAATGCTTTCAAAATTGTTTTAACAGGGTTCAATAAAATCAAGTACTCAGTTATGTATGTATGTGTGTATGTGTGTACGTGTGTGTGTATGTTTGTCATAGCCTTAATCTACCTACCTATTTCCCCCTTCCCCTCTGTTGAAATTATGTGTATGTGGACAATTTTATACATACAAAAAGATATTGTGTATGTCTATATGTACATGCATATACAACACATTCACATCTGATGCTTGCTGGCAGTTTCAACAGACGTAGAGAATTGATTTTACAAGCTTTGTATACTAGGTTACAACATACTGCTGATATCCAGTGTAGTCATTTTTTTTATGCTATAACATGACCAAAACATAGAACAGTTCTGAGGGTTGAGTTCAGCATCAGTTATTTGGTGGGGGATGTTGTGAAGGAATCCATAAAACCTGATAATTTTTTTTAAAAGTCTAGTCACCTCTGGTATACAAGGATAATGCCTACCTCAGATAGTCTCTGCGACAAAGGATAAGGTTTGCTTTAGTGTACAGGGTGGAGCCCACCTCTCCCAACCGACAATCACAGCAAGCACACTTCAGACAGTCTTCATGCCAATATTTGTCCAGGGCCTTCAGTAGATATCGGTCCTTGATTTTACGGTTGCAGCCAGCACAACCTTTCGGCTTGGTGTCTGGCTGGACTGAGAGCATTTGTATACCTAAGAAAGTTGAGAAGAAGAAAAACAAAAAAGAAATAACTGGGACTATTAGATGGAATAAAAAGACAGCAAATATCAAAATCAGACTCCAAAAATTCAGCATTGCTTTCTCTAGAAGTACAAGGTCTTATTTTTTATTCTAAGATGTTGATTGAAAATATAAAATTGGGCTTGGGCTCTCATTTATACTTTATACTGTCCTTACTCACTGTCTTTCCTCATCCATTTGTTCATCTTCCAAGTATCAAGTGGTAAAAATATTATATTTATGTATGTGTGTGTATATGCATGTATTTATATGTATAATATTTCTATATAGGTGTATGCTTATATGTATGTATATGTGCATATATACATATATGTGGAGAAAGGGAGAGAGAGGAAGAGGGAGAGAGACAGAGACAGAGAGACAGACAAAGAGACAGAGAGAGAGAGAATGAGAATATTCATGTCATGGTAAGCAGCTGTTATAAATATGAAGCTAAGTAATATTAGATAATTGTATAATGTTTCTGCTCCTGAATAGAACATTTCCCTTGGGGAGCAAATGTGATTAAAATTCTAAACAATTTTTAAAGAAATCTACTTAATAATGCACCACACATAAATTTGCCCTCCAGTACATAAGTGTCAATCTTGAAATATCTGAAATAGCTAGGTTAAAATAACCACTTAATGTGTATTTGGTGGTAGGAAGAGTATAGTGTCCCCTGTGTGGAGAAAGGAGTTAGCTTACAGTAGTTGAAAGGGTATATGACACAGAATTTTGTAACAGATCAGTTAAAGATTCAAACATTCCTAAATAAGGGACACTTCAATATATGGTCCTTATGTTAAAAGAAAGTATAGCCACCAGTACCTACATTACAATCATATAAACTATGCATTTTAACCTATCAAGTTACAATTCTAACAAAATATTAGATAACACTTTAAAAGGGTATCAAGGAAGGGCCAATTGTAGTTACATTTCCACCTCAAAGATCAGTATTAGAAGACAGACAAGAGGCATTAATTACTCCTTGCCAAATTTTTTTTAAAGTCATCTTTCCATAAATGTTATATACCCTGTTACCAGTTATCATGAATAAGAGATGTCTATCCAGTTCTGCAACTTGGCCATACTCTTTTTTTTAAAATTTATTTAGTATTTTATTTTTCCCCAATTACATGTAAAAACAATTTTTAAAATTCGTTTTTAAAACTTCAAGTTCCAAATTCTCTCTATTCCTCCCTTCTCCTCCCACCCCATTGAGAAGGCAAACAATTTGATACAGGTTATACATGTGTAGTTATGCAAAACATTTCCATATTAGTCATGTTGTAAAAGAAAACATAGATAAAAAACCTCAAGAAAAATAAAGTAAAAAAAAAGTTATGCTTCAATCTGCATTCAGACCCCATCAGTTCTTTCTCTGGGGATGCATAGCATTTTTTATCATAAGTCCGTCAGAGTTGTCTCAGATCATTTTATTTTGGCCATACTTTTGATAGTAAATTAAAATACACTCTTCTTTAAGATTCCCCCTTCTTCCTAAATTGATTTTGTACTGAACATACACCCTCTCCATAAAGTCAAATCATAGAACGTTTAAACTGAAAAATATTTTCCATTCTCTTATGTGGAGCCTCCTCCCAATCCCAAATACAGGAAATGAAGAAACAGAGGCCAGGAGAAATCAAGTGGCTTGTTCTGAGGTCACACAGTTATTTAATGTTACAACTAAGATTAGAATCCTTGTCTCCTGAATGGTTTTTTCACTAATTCATTGTTTCACAAAAGTACTGAAGCCCAAATTCGGAAGCGGAGAAAAGGATGTTTTGCACTAATTGTGCATGTTCTTACTAACTACTTTAAGAAAATGAAGGCCACATTCTACATCCAGCTATGCTCCATTCCACCCTCCCCAATTATATAAGTTTTCTTCAACTTTCTACAAGTGACATTATGGTAATTGTTCTATCACAGCCTTTAATAATTCTCCTTCAAATTACTTAGACAAAGAGACATACATACAACCTACACAGCTTTTTGTAAGAGAAGACTTCTGCACAGATTTTTTTTTTTTAAAGGAATGGTGAACATTTGTTAGAATGAAACTTCCTTGGCTAAATTTTTTTCTGGTTTAACCAGAGTTCCAGACTAGATGTTGAGTTAAGAGTTCTTCGTACAGAATAGCAGGCAGTATCCCTGTGGCCTGATTCCTCTCCTTTGAAGGAACTAAGAACCTAGGATATATCAATCATAACCCTTAGTAGTCCTGCTAAAGCTTACTTTCTAGAACTTCTATCAAATGAAGATTCTTTGATCGTAACTGGTTATTTCTAGTACACTTCTATGGGGAATAAATTCCATCAATTACAACATACCACATTCCCTAATGTCCTTAATACCTGAATAGGGGAAGCATTTTAATTTAAAAAATATGGTTCTGGATTACAGAGGCATATACAGATTTGGTATATGTGGAATCAAAAGTTTGAAAGGAAGACTGCTCTACTTTCCCCAGTTTGTAATTCCTGTTTGTTTTTGAGCTTTAGTGCCCAGAAAAATTAGAAGAAAACTCCCATCTGAAGAAACAATTAAGCTATATTTCCCAGTTATGTTACAGCCATAAAGAATATAAGGTCAAATCTCTCACTCAAAAATCTCCAGATAGTAGAAACTAGTCTTTATGAAAACTAGACAATAGGTTACTTATCTCCAAAAAAAAAAAAGTTTTTGTTGTTATGTTAACATTTTAAGTTATCACTCAGAATTCAGCTAATGTTTGTACTTAATAGACTATATGACACTAGGTCATTGAAGCACAGGAGTAGAATATTCTATATTACATTTATGTGGCTTCCTTTTAAAAGGATCATATTGCTCCTAAAATTAAACATTTCAACTAGACATAAATCAATAGCTGGTAGTTGTAGAAAATGGTTATTTCACAATTATTCTGCCACATATATAGAATTTATAAAGTAGTCAGCAGATTACCCTGACCGTTCAAAAAAATGTCTTTGTAAAGCTACATGTTCATAAGCCAAGAAACATTTCAGAAGTTTCTTATGGCACATCAGGAGTCATAACTAGTTTTAGATTGGCATGTAAATTGTTCTGAGGGAAATTCTTATTGCCTCTGAGACCCTGTTATTCCGAGTTATTTGACAGTTTAAGGGAAATCAATTTTTTTTTTTTAAAGACAAATAATGGCCTGTGCAGTATGGTGTTCAGAAATAAGTAGAACCATTTCATTTAAACTCTGGTGAGCTTTTAATTGCCTGGATTGTATTGTGAGTCAGCCTAACGGTTGATTGCCTCCATTATGCTCTCTTGTTCTGTGCTATTCATCCGCAAAGTCTCAGCTATAGTAGTTAACACAACAAAGTAACCACAACTCTATAACATGTGGGTTCTTTTTTTTAATAAAGAGATTTTCAACACTTAGAGAGATTGCCTTTCAACCAATAGTATATATTCAGATGAAAAACTACTTTCCCACTTACACATGTCTCTCTGTCTCTGTCTGTTTCTCTTTCTCTCTCTCTCTCTCTCTCTCTCTCTCTCTCTAAAGAGGAAAGGAACAAGAGGTAAGGCTATAAAGCAGGTTGACAGCTGAGGTGAGTTAGGAAGATGCTAAAATGAGAATGCATATCCCATACCTAGGAGACCTGACACAGATTAAAAGAATTTGACCAACAAGGCTATTCAAATGCTGAGGGGTACTAAACAAAAGATTTTCTTTTTTTACCCCCTCCAATCCCCAAATCAACCCCTCCCCAACCCCATTTGAAAGCTGGATTGGGCCTAAAAGCTTGTTTTTCTCTGTTCAGTGGCCCAGAGCATCCCTGCAGGCTGTAGCCCCCTAAGGGACAACAATGCAAATAGATGTCCCTATATCTCAGGGACTGGAGCTGCATAACTCCGTTCTACCCCTTCAACTCCCTCCTCTCCACCCTCTCAACCCCCCTTCTTTTTTGAGCAATGGAGCTGGGAACCAATTTGATTCCCTTTTTCTCCAATGCAGCTGCAAGGCTCAGAGATACTGACATTTTTCCACTCTTATCAGTTTAATTACAGTTACCATGGCAGCAAAGTGCTAGTGCTTGGCAAAGGCCAACAAGAGATTTGCAAGACTGAGTTCAATTTTGATGCAGCTCACATGCAAAATCAAAAAATAAGAAACATACATACAGTATAACAAAGAATTCCTTTTGGGTTTACAATCCAGCCTCTTTTGTGGCGGTGTCTTTTCAGCCACACAGGGATGATTTGCAAAGAATGTAACAATATTTGTTGCACCTAGCAAGATTAATTGGTTTAAACAGCAGTCTTTCAAAGCAGTTACAGCAAAAATATTTCAGATATCTTTAGAAATACACTAAAGGAACATTAAAGCCAGGCTCCTGCAAAGTACAGCTATGACAAATAGTAACCTTACCAAAACTTTTCTCCTTTTTCTGCATGAGTTGATTTAAGAATGCCTGAGTAGCAGCTTCTCATTGGATTTGGTAATCCAAGGAAAAGTGGTAGCGTCCCTTTTGCTTTGGCTGAAGTGAGAAGCTGGTGTTCAGATACACAGTCGAGAACAGACTATTGTGCACCCACTTTGGGAAAGGGTCGGAGTGTCAGCAGGGGGTGGGGGGAAGGGAGAAGGGTTGACAGACAAGACAACACGCACAAACTGAACCACTTGCACCAATGTGGCAGCGTTCAAAATGATGGCGAATGACAAAGCCACATGTTTCCCTAACTCTGTCCGTAATCCTATAATCCCAGAGGTCTCTTTTAGCTTCGTTTTAACAAATGGATTTGATTAAACTGTCACATGCAGCGTTAGCATACCATATCATGTTCAATATGAAAAAGATCATAAATCTGACTTGTATTTCATAATAGCAATCTGTATAACCTCTAAAAATGTGCTGCATCAGTCTAATATTGGGCTATTAGTCCATGTGCACCTCATTTCACTGAATCTCTTTCCCCTTCTCAGGTTCCATCCATACCCCAAAACCCATGTACTCTAGACACTTTGCTACCAGAAAGGACTGGACAGTTAAGGGAATGGTGTGTTTACTGTATCTATTTAGAAAGGGAAAACGAGTGTTATGAAGAACGAAGACTCTCCAAATTAAACTATTGGGGGGCCGGTATTAGTGGCAGAATAGAAGCAGTCATTGAATCGTACCCCACAAAGCAAAAACAAAAATCCACATATCACTCTATCCCCGGTCCCACTGACCCTAAAATTCTCTTAAGAATTGCATCCCCCCCATTCTCTGCCACAAAGAATAAGCGTGTGGAAATGCTGCGGTTCATTGTTAACTTTGACTATTATCTACTCTAATACTTGAGATGTTCAGCGAAGGAGCTTCTCTCTCTTCCTCCATCAGCATCTTCCGATTGCATGTATTTCATGTCTCATCATAAAAATAATGAAGCCTCACATGATTTAAACAAAATCGTCTCAGCAGAGCTGCAGCTTGAGCGAAAGTTACAGCGCAGAAGACGATGTGTTGCGGCTCTAGTTTATACCTCATTAGGAGAGGCAGAAAAAAAAATACCCACATAACACACACGCACGCACGCGCACACATACACACACCACAAATAACCCAAAGCTTGTGTATACAGTTGCTTCACTTACCTTCTCAATTAAGCAATGCAGGGGGAGGCAGTTCAGTGAGCACAGTGGCTGCTTTGTAGCTCTTCTCCTTGGGAAAGGTCAAAAAGAAGCATTGTTTGGAAAAAAAAAAGGACAGGGGAGGGAATCGCTATTCTTTAAGTTTAAAATAATGAGGTCCTCAAGGATCCGCCAAGTAATTGTGTTGACCACATCTGAGCTACAGGTGTCCTCCTTTTAGTATCTTACAGTCCACGGCTGTCTTTCTCTGTCCTGGCTCAAGACAACTTACCTAAGCAGCGTGTGAGGAACCAAGCTGAATGAAGCCAGGGCTTTATCAGCTGCAAAATGCAATCCCTTACCAGCCAGACATAATACAGCAAAAGAAAAGGTCACTCAGTTATTACTGAGCCAGCAGAGCCTAGGCAGCTCTTGTCAAGACCATAGAGAAGCAGCTCCCTTCCGATTTAAGACTATTTACCTCTCACCCCCCATCCCCCGCCTTCTTCTTTCCTTCTCTCTCTCTCTCTCTCTCCCGTCCCTCCCTCCTTCGTTCGCTCCCTCTCGTGTTCTCGTTCTGCAGCTCAGTCAAGTACAGCCGCCCTCCGAAAGTGCAAAGCAGCCAGGAGACAGATTGGGCTTTGTTGGTAATTTCCCATGGTGAAAATTTACAAGCTTGCGAGTGCAGTCAGCAAAACCACATGCATATGCTAGACACAAACACCAGGGACAACCCCTCACAAAAAAAATAAAAGAAAAAGAAAAAGAAAAAAGTGACCCGTACAGAAAGCAACTCAGAAAGGACTATGTCCCAGCCCATCCAAAATGAAACTCCAAGGGGGGGGGGCGGGGAAAGAACAGAAAATAAGAATTTCTTTGAATAACCACGGTATTTTGCAACAGCTGGCTACATTTAAAACAAACTGTCCCCAACAGTTACTTATGAAGCTAATAATTATGGAAATTTTAAAAAATACTGTTAAAATATCACCTAAAATTTTCAGAATTAGCTAGAAAAGTATTACCCTCCTCTACTCTAGGATTATTTGGTGGTGGGGAGAAATACGTGTGTGTACACACACACACACACACACACACAAGCTTGGTCTCTAACTCCCATTCACAGTCCTGAAAACTCTGCTCTGTAGGTCTGCCACACACAGGCCTCTTCCTGCCTATAGTCTCAGGCTACCCCTCCTCTTCATTCTAATGGCCTAACCTATAGTGAACTTGTGGCCCAACTCAGCCAGTTCCTTTCCAACATACTCCTTAAATTTACTTTAAAACTCTTAAAAAGTCTTAGAGTCTAATCTATGGGTTTTTTTTTTTACAATTGGGGTACTCACAAGCTTTCAGAGCTCTCAAAATAATTTGCTGTGGTACCTACACAAGGCTTATTTTGAAGGCATTTAAAAAAATATTTACAGCAATGTCTACTTCTTCCCTTCCCTGCCCCATTTACTTCACATTCCTTGAAAGACTGTTGGCAGCTGGAGAAAAAAAAAAAATATTTCTCAAAACTTCAAAGTTACTCTCTTTCATCAGGTTAAAAGCCCTGACATAGGTCAGGATTAAAATTTAGTCTAAATTTAAATGACATTAAGTCTTTAAGGAGCCAAGCAAGATTCAGTGAAGTACTTCCAATTTCCTCCTCCCCCCATCAGTTTAACCTACAAATAATAGTTTTAAAACAAACAAAAAAGCAATCTTAAAAAAAATGGACTTTGGGCTTTATGCTTCAATGAATAAAAATTGATAGTACCAATATTTTAACCTCCCCACTTCCCACCCCCCAAAAACCCTTTATGATGAAATTATCATGTGGCCACTTTTTTTCTCCCTTTATATAGTAACAAAACTCAGAACTAACCTGAAAAATAACTGAAAAAGTCACAGACAGCAGGTTAATACGACCCCCTTCAGCTGATTTGATCTGTACATAAGCAGATTTCTCAACTTTTGCCTTTCTCTCCCACTTATTCAAGCACACATACACCTCATCTGTATGAACAGTTCCTTGCTTATACCCTACCTTTGCTACAACCACTCTGAAAACACAGCAGTGTCTCTCACTCTCTCTCAACCAATGCACTGAGAAGAAGGAAAGAGGGAGGGAGAAGTATGTGTGGGGAAAGGGAGAAATAAAATCAAAACAAATGGTACAGCTAATGAGGACAATTAAATTAATTATGTTCAAGGAGATGAGATTTTTTTTCCCTCCAACTGTATGATCTGTTACCCCTCGCTGGCAACTGCTGCTCTGTAATTCATGGCAACTGATTAGTGCATCTATGCAAATCTTTGTTTAAATCATTCAACTAATTAAATGATGGGATTATTCCTCTGCCTACGGTGACATCATTCGCAGTAATTAGTACTCTATTTGGACTGTGGCAGTAAGATTCCTGATATCAACACCAACCTGCAAAGACATTAACCACTTTGTCACTTTTTTTAAGGGACAAACACCCAGATCTCTAATTACATGTGTTTCCCCCCTCCTTTATCCCCCAGTCTTCCTTTCCTTTCCTGTTTTACCCCCTCCCCCACCAATCAGGATATATATTTATATATAAGAAAGGGGAGAAACTTGGTGAATAATATGCCAAACCACATGTGTAAAGGAATAAAATGGAATAGTTAACATTCAGCTCCACGCCATTCATTTTCCCCTAAAATGTAATGATAATTAGATGGGTCATAAAATGCTCTTCTTTTCATTATGACTGATGAAATGCATTAAAGTTGACAGGGTATTACCTGACAGTAATTAGGTTTTGTCATGAATTAAATTATTTGAAAGCAGGCTATCTCCCCAATCAAGCAATTTACAGCAAGATTTTTTTTAAATCTGTGCTACATAAGAGAGAGATAGAAAATAGCAGTTTTTCTCTTCATAATCATATGAATTATTCACCAAAAAAAAATCATCAGGAAAAAAAAAACCCGTGCAGATGAAGAGGCTTGCCACTTAATGTACTGCACAGATGTGATCATCAGCAGTTGCCGACAATGAAATATACAAGTGCACACAAAGTGATCTGGTGAACAAGAGGTGGAATTTAATCATCTTCTGCTGACACTTTGCAAAAAACACCATTAACCCTCAGCAAACCCCCTGTTTTCCCTGCTCTACTCCCCCCCCCACCCCATGCCTCACCCCTCCTGTGAAAGGAAAAAAAAAGTGAAAAAAGAATTTGTGCTTTTGTTTACTCAGCCAAGCTAAAGGTTGGTTCTAGCCAGGCAAACAGTTTCTTCATTTCCAGAGAGTAAACTAGCCAGTTTAATTACAAAGCCTTAGGAAACCTTTGCAAAAGAACTGCTATTAAGAGACACTTTTTGGGGGGGAAGGGGGTGCCTTGTTACAGAGGTTGAGCTCGGTTTCAGCAGCTCATCATACTTTCCATTTGATAAGAGTATTTAATCCACCCAACCCCCTAAAAAAATCAGAATGCCATATCCAATATTCTTAACTCTAATGTCTTTGAAGGAGGGGGAGGGATGAAAGAATGAAGGAGGCAGGGGCAGGGCATGAGGCAGTGATAACCGGGTGTGTAAAACTTACCTTTTCTCAAAAGAAAGCTTCCACAGGAAAATATATTTTTAAATATATCCTCAAGTTCTCAGCTTTAAAATGCACTTCCGTTTAATTTTGTGTATGCCCCTTCAATGATTATTTCTGCAGTGTCCCAAAGAGGATGCTGTTATGTTGCAGTCTGTTTTAGGGCAGCAAGAAGGGTGGGGGTGAAGGGTAAGGGTAGGAAATCCTATGCTCAGAGTCCAATTTAAAAGAAAAAGTCTCAGTCAAGGTAAGTGTGAAGTTAGTTCTTCCCCTAACTCCACCATCATTCTCCAAAATTCAGCCACACAAATGCAATGA